GATAGATGTTTGGAGGCGGGAGGTAAGATAAAGAGTTGGAGACGGGAGACAAGATAGATGTTTGGAGGCGGGAGATAAGATAAAGAGTTGGAAACGGGAGATAAGATGAAGAGGGGGATGCAGGAGATAAGATAGATATTTGGAGGCGTGAGGTAAGACAAAGATATGGATACGGGAGATAAGATAGATGTTTGGAGGCGGGAGGTAAGATAAAGAGTTGGAAACGGGAAATGAGACAGAGAGTGGGAGACGGGTGATAAGATAAAGAGTTGGAGACGGGAGAAAAGCCAGATATTTGGAGGAGGGAGGTAAGATAAAGAGCTGGAGACGGGAGATAAGTCAGATATTTGGAGGGGGGATAAGCTAAAGAGTTGGAGACGGGAGATAAGATGAAGAGGGGGAGGCGAGAAATGAGACAGAGAGTTTGAGACGGGAGATGAGATAAAGAGTTGGAGACGGGAGTTAAGATGAAGACGGGGAGACGGGAAATGGGAAAAAAGGTTGGATTAGGAAGAGAAGATTAATAGTATGAGACGGGAAATACGATAGAGAGTGGGGGCGGGAGATGCAATAAAGAGTGGGAAACGGGATATGAGATAAAGAGTAGGACACGGGAGATAAAACATAGAGTTGGATACGAAAGAGGCGATAAAGATTTGGAGGCCGAATGTAAGATAAACTGGAGGTGACAGGAGACAAGTTCAAGAGTTGTAGATGGGAGATGAGATAAAGAGTTGTAGACGGGAAGTTCGATAAAGAGTGGTCGACGGGAGGTGAGATAAAGAGTTGTAGATGGGAGATGAGATAAAGAGTTGTAGACGGGAAGTGAGATGAAGAGTGGTAGACGGGAAGTTTGATAAAGAGCGGTAGACGGGAGGTGAGATAAAGTGTGGTAGAAGGGAAGTGAGATAAAGAGTGATAGACGGGAGGTGAGGTAAAGAGTGGTAGACGGGAGGTGAGATAAAGATTGGTAGACGGGAAGTTCGATAAAGAGTGGTAGACGGGAAGTGAGGTAAAGAGTGGTAGACGGGAGATGATATAAAGAGTTGTAGCCGGGAAGTGAGATGAAGAGTGGTAGACGGGATGTTAGATAAAGAGTGGTAGACGGGAGGTGAGTCAAAGAGTGGTAGACGGGATGTGAGATAAAGAGTGGAAGACGGGAAGTTCGATAAAGAGTGGTAAACGGGAAGTTAGATAAAGAGTGGTAGACGGGAGGTGAGGTAAAGAGTGGTAGACGGGAGGTGAGATAAAGAGTGGTAGACGGGATGTTCGATAAAGAGTGGTAGACGGTAGGTGAGAAAAAGAGAGGTAGACGGGAAGATAGATAAAGAGTGGTGGACGGGAAGTGAGATAAAGAGTTGAAGACGGGAGGTGAGGTTAAGAGTGGTAGACGGGATGTGAGATAAAGAGTGGTAGACGGGAAGTTAGATAAAGAGTGGAAGTCGGGAAGTTAGATAAAGTGTGGTAGACGGGAAGTTAGATGAAGAGTGGTAGGCGGGTGGTGAGGTAAAGAGTGGTAGACGGGAGATAAGATAAAGAGTGGTAGACGGGAGGTGAGATAGAGTGGTAGACGGGAAGTGAGATCAAGAGTGGTAGACGGGAAGTTAGATAAAGAGTGGTAGACGTGAAGTTCAATAAATTGTGGTTTACGGGAGGTGAGATAAAGAGTTGTAGACGGGTAGTTAGATAAAGAGTGGTAGACGGGAGGTGAGATAAAGAGTGGTAGACGGGAGGTGAGATAAAAAGTGGTAGACGGGAAGTTCGATAAAGAGTGGTAGAGGGAGAGGTGAGATAAAGAGTGAAGTTCGATAAAGAGTGTTAAGCGGGAAGTTACGAAGAGAGTGGTAGACGGGAAGTTAGATATGGAGTGGTACACGGTAGGTGAGATAAAGAGAGGTAGACGGGAAGTTGATAAAGAGTGGTGGACGGGAAGTGAGATAAAGATTTGAAGACGGGAGGTGAGGTAAAGAGTCGTAGACGAGAGGTGAGATAAAGAGATATTTGGAGGCGTGAGGTAAGACAAAAAGTTGGAGACGGGAGATAAGATGAAGAGGGGGAAACGGGAGATAAGATAGATGTTTGGAGGCGGGAGGTAAGATAAAGAGTTGGAGACGGGAGACAAGATAGATGTTTGGAGGCGAGAGATAAGATAAAGAGTTGGAAACGGGAGATAAGATAGATGTTTGGAGGCGGGAGGTAAGATAAAGAGTTGGAAACGGGAGATAAGATAGATATTTGGAGGCGTGAGGTAAGACAAAGAGTTGGAAACGGGAGATAAGATAAAGAGTGGTAGACGGGAGGTGAGATAAAGAGTGGTAGACGGGAAGTGAGATAAAAAGTGGTAGACGGGAGGTGAGGTAAAGAGTGGTAGACGAGAGGTGAGACAAATAGTGGTAGATGGGGTTTGATATAAAGAGAGGTAGACGGGAAGATAGATAAAGAGTGGTGAATGGGAGGTGAGATAAAGACGGGAAGTTCGATAAACAGTGGTAGACGGGAAGTGAGATAAAGAGTGGTAGACGGGAGGTGAGATAAAGAGTTGTAGACGGGATGTTAGATAAAGAGTGGTAGACGGGAGGTGAGGTAAAGAGTGGTAGACGGGAGATAAGATAAAGAGTGGTAGACGGGAGGTGAGATAAAGACTGGTAGACGGGAAGTGAGATAAAGAGTGGTAGACGGGAGATAAGATAAGGAGTGGTAGACGGGAAGTGAGATAAAAAGTGGTAGACGGGAAGTTAGATAAAGAGTGGTAGACGTGAAGTTCAATAAATTGTGGTAGACGGGAGGTGAGATAAAGAGTTGTAGACGGGTAGTTAGATAAAGAGTGGTAGACGGGAGGTGAGATAAAGAGTGGTAGACGGGAGATAAGATGAAGAGTGGTAGACGGGAAGTTAGATAAAGAGTAGTAGACGTGAAGTTCAATAAATTGTGGTAGACGGGAGGTGAGATAAAGAGTGGTAGACGGGTAGTTAGATAAAGAGTCGTAGACGGTAAGTGAGATAAAGAGTAAAAGACGAGAGATACAAAAGAGAGTGGGAGACGGAAGAAAAGATGGAGAGCGGGAGACGGGAGATAAGATAGAGTTGGAGACAGGAGATAAGATAAAGTGTGCAAGAAGGGAGATAAAATAAAGAATGGGAAACGGTTAAAGGTATTTCGAGGAAACAGTATTATAGAGGAATAGGATGGATGTACAAACACAGGCTTACCCCATAGAAAATAAACTATTCGATAGACCGTTTGGGAAAAGAGTAGGAGTTCATAATAACCAAGACATTCCCCAAAAGAGGGGATGCATGGACATTGGACGCCGTCGTGGTTTGGGTCAACAGTCACAGCAAGCTGCACTGTCCAGGTCATCAAGTGGGTGTCCACAGAGATGAGGCGATATCGCGACCCACGGGTCCATCGACATATTGGCAGAGACAAAGTGCATCAGTTGAGTGGGTGCCGGAACAAGGTGCGTGGAGCCAGACGATTACAGGCGGGGCAGACGGTATTTACGGAGTGATGTTGGTCAGATATTTTAGTACTTTAAAGTCCGCAAAGACGCTCAAATAGACTGTGCCATTAAGATAACATTTTCCAGGAAAGATAGTATGAAAGGCGACAAGTGTATTTCAATATGATAACTACAAAATCAATGTCATGTTGTTTTTTCTGTCATGAGTATTCTGGCGTATAACACCATTGTTTAGAAGACAAGTTCAGGGCGCGGGGCTGAATGTGTTATATAACACAGGTCGTGGTGTTGAATGTGAGAGACTTCGAGTTATATAACACTGGGTGTAGTGTTGGATGTCAGGGACTATGAGTTATACAACACAGGGCATGGTGTTGAATGTGAGAGACTTCGAGTTATATAACGCAGGGCTTGGTGTTGAATGTGATAGGCTACGAGTTCTATAACACAGGCCGTGGTGTTGAATGTGAGGGACTAAGAGTTATACAACACAGGGCGTGGTGTTGAATGTGAGAGACATCGAGTTACACAACACAGGGTGCGGGGCTGCATGCGAGGGAATACGAGTTATATCACACAGTGTGTGAAGAGTGATATAAGGGCATACGATGGAGTTATCTCACACAGTACGTGGTGTTGAATGTAAGGAACTACGACTAATGTCACACAGGGTGCGAAGCTAAATGTGAGTTATGTCACACAGGGCGCATGTAAGGGAGTACGAATTATATCATACGAGTTATATCACATAACTCTTTCCATACTTATCAGAAATGTGATGTGTAATAATTTATAAAGAATAAGACGTTAAGATAACTCTTCTACGGTCATATAGTATTTTCTTGTGATGTAAGTAACCATTAAAAACAAATATTCGATATTGATAAATGTGTATGGTGTACGGGTGTATATACGTGATGCCTAAACGTCTGGCACACTGACCCGTACAAATCCGGGTTAGAATAGGTCTTCAGCAACCGTTGTTTGCCGTAAAAGGAAGGCGACTATGCTTGTCGTAAGAGGCTACTAACAGGATCGGGTGGTCAGGCTCGCTGACTTGGTTGATGCATGTCATCGTGACCAAAATGCGGGGATCGATGCCCATGATGTCAATCACTGGATTGTTTGCCCCAGACTCCATTATTTACAGACCGACATTAAACAACAAACAAACAAAACCATTTAAAACAAACATTCGGTATTGACAAAAGTGTGCACGGATGTGTATGCCTGAACGTCTTGTACATGCTCAATGAGAGGTGCTCACGGGTGGCATATTAGGTCTCCATATCTACATAGGTCTTCACTTGTCTCGACGTCAATCATTGGTGGGAAGAGCACGCTGTGCGAGTGTGTTGTATCTGGACGGCTGGTAGACATAGACACTGACAGGTGCTCACAGTCGTCTATTTAATTTGACATAACTCTTTCAGTCACTGCCTGGTCGTTAACATAGCATATTCTTCAATCCTATTTCAGCTATTGCTTCTGTCATATAGTACTGTGAAAGAAATGAAGCACAGGAGCATGTTCTTACCTGCAGGTCGCCTTGGGTCTCCTCGGTCTGTCGTCATTGATCCATATAGAAATAACCATCAATGACATCAAAGTCGCTCAGCTCGCTTCTTCTTTGGATCGTGAGGAACTCAGAAAGACTGTCTTTATAACGTTTGTCCATCCAGTGGGTAAATCACAGACTGCTGCCAGCTTACCCAATTAAAAGTCTCATCTTGCAAGCGACGTCAAGTCGGGTTAATTACAAGAAACTTTCAAGTTTTAGTTCCAGGAAAGGTGCTGCCTAAATCGCCGGCTCCATTTCCGAGTATTGAACACACATTGGTAAAGTGGGCCACAACACGCCGTGAGCTGTTACTTAAACCTCTGCACAAACGATGTTGACGATGATATCCTTTGCTGCAGAATATTCACAGTGGCGTTGTTTGGGGGAATCTGTGAAATTAATCAAATGGCTTTTAAATGCATGTGGATTACTTTGAGCCTCGTCAGATAATGGTCTGATGGCCCTGTGTCCCTTTGCCTTAATTATACTCTCGTTTGCCTACTGATTTGAATATATACTGTTGGTATAGCTATAGAAGACAGAGTGAATGCAATCTCACAGCAATTTGTGACCGGATAGACATCAGTCCGAGCATCCTGCAACTTAATATTGAAAATTAAGTTAATTTAGTGAAATTTAAGGATAATTAATGCAATTAGAATACATGATATAATTTGCTTTGATTTCCATTTTGAAAATAAGTATAAAATGTGAATTCCTTGTTCTAGAAATGCGTTAATTTATAAGTTTTAATTTACTCACTTTAAACAAACATCATACAGCAAAACATCAAAATTTAAAACTGTGGTATAGAATATGTCTTTACCTTATGGAAGTGTGGTACTGTGTTGGGTAGCGCTGTGTTAAATCCGGTGCAAACACATTTATATGATGCCGCCAAAAATAGCCTTAATACAGATCGAATATGTCCACACAGAATGGATTCTTGTGAACAGTCTCCATTCAGCGTAATCGGCAGTCGGGCGTAGTCTTGTACAGTTGAATATCTTCGCCCTGCCGGCGACTACTGCCACCCTTCGTCTACAGCCAACCTGTAATTGTTGTCGAGCGGAGTTCTCTGTTCAGGAAGCTTAGCGCCTTTGGGACCCGCAGATGCTAAAACAGTTCGGTCACTGTAATTGAGGAAAGATGATCCTATTTAGTCTGCGCCGAGGATAAACAGCAACATCGTTTTTGTATAGTTAATAAACTAGGGTTTTTTTCTCAGGGTGCCCACACCACCTGACGGGAGTTACATACAAATAGGTACTTTACCAATAACGGGTTCGGACACTTCGCATAGTACATATTTTCTTTCTCGTCAAACTCCATTGTGCTTTTCTACCTGATTTATGTCTCCCTGCACTGTTAACAAATACACAAGGACGTTCCTTTGTCTCGGATTAACCTTAACCAAATACAAAGTATGACGCTGCCATCCCATGGGGGTTGACCGTCGACTTATTGGACGCACCTTTTTCCTGGAAAGTCTCCAGAACGTTTTTTAATTATTCTTTGATATCAATCAAGTCCCTCCCCACAACTAACGTTGTACATAACGACAAGAGAGCTGACGAGAGTGTTTTCATTGTGTAATATAATGTTCATTGCAGACATAGATTGAATCTGATCACCCAGATATAACATCAATGGTTATCATATGCAGTTCGTTAGATACAGTGATGATCCAACAGTGAAGTTGCTACAGTGACGTCCCTACAATAACACCCCTACAGCGACGACTCTAAAGTGATGTCCCTACAACGACGTCTGCAAAGTGACACCCCTACCGTGAAACGTCAGTGACGCCCCAACAATGACGGCATTAAAGGGACCACCATATCGTGACGCCACTACAGTGGCGGCCCTACAGTAACGTCCCATAATGACACCCCTTCAGTAAATCTTCTGTAGCGGCGCCCCTACAATGACACTGCTACACCAACGCCCTACACTGACGCCCCATGTGGACACTGCTGCACTGACGCTCCACAGCGAGACTCCTACACTGACGCCCTACATTGACACTTCTACACTGACACTGCTACACTGAGGCCCTACACTGACGCCCTACATTGACACTTCTACACTGATGCCCTACACTGACGCCCTACACTGACGCCCTACACTGATACTTCTACACTGATGCCCTACACTGACGCCCTACACTGATGCCCTACACTGATGCCCTACACTGACGCCCTACACTGATACTTCTACACTGATGCCCTACACTGACACTTCTACACTGACACTCCTACACTGCCACTGATACACTGACGCCCTACACTAACACTGTTGCACTGACGCCCTACACTGACGCCCTACACTGACTTTTCTACACTGACACTGCTGCACTGACGCCCTACACTGACACTCCTACACTGACACTGATACACTGACGCCCTACACTGACACTGCTGCACTGACACTGATACACTGACGCCCTACACTGACACTTCTACACTGACACTGCTGCACTGACGCCCTACACTAACGCCCTACACTGACGCCCTACACTGACACTGCTGCACTGACGCCCTACACTGACACTGCTGCACTGACACCCTACACTGACACTTCTACACTGACACTGCTGCACTGACGCCCTACACTGACACTGCTGCACTGACGCCCTACACTGACACTTCTAAACTGAGATTTCTACACTGACACTTCTACACAGACGCCCTACACTAACACTGTTGCACTGACGCCCTACACTGACGCCCTACACTGACTTTTCTACACTGACACTGCTGCACTGACGCCCTACACTGACACTCCTACACTGACACTGATACACTGACGCCCTACACTGACACTGCTGCACTGACACTGATACACTGACGCCCTACACTGACACTTCTACACTGACACTGCTGCACTGACGCCCTACACTAACGCCCTACACTGACGCCCTACACTGACACTGCTGCACTGACGCCCTACACTGACACTGCTGCACTGACACCCTACACTGACACTTCTACACTGACACTGCTGCACTGACGCCCTACACTGACACTGCTGCACTGACGCCCTACACTGACACTTCTAAACTGAGATTTCTACACTGACACTTCTACACAGACGCCCTACACTGACACTACTGCACTGACACCCTACACTGACACTTCTACACTGACGCCTTACACTGACACTACTGCACTGACGCCCTACATTGACACTTCTACACTGACACTTCTACACTGACACTCCTAAACTGATGCCCTACACTGACGCCCTACACTGACACTGCTGCGCTGACACTGCTTCACTGACGCCCTACACTGACACTCCTACACTGACGCCCTACACTGACACTTCTACACTGATGCCCTACAATGACGCCCTACACTGACACTGCTGCACTGACGCCCTACACTGACACTGCTACACTGACGCCCTACATTGACACTTCTACACTGGCACTGCTGCACTGACGCCCTACACTGACACTTCTCCTTGATGCCCTACATTGACACTTCTACACTGACACTGCCGCACTGACGCCCTACACTGACACTGCTGCACTGACACTTCTAAACTGACACGTCTACACTGACACTCCTACACTGATGCCCTACACTGACACTTCTACACTGACACTTCTACACTGATGCCCTACACTGCCACTTCTACACTGCCACTTCTACACTGCCACTTCTACACTGATGCCCTATATGATGCCCTACACTGACACTTCTACACTGACACTTCTACACTGACACTTCTACACTGACACTCCTACACTGATGCCCTACACTGACACTTCTACACTGACACTTCTACACTGATGCCCTACACTGACACTCCTACACTGATGCCCTACACTGACGCCCTTCACTGACACTGCTGCACTGACGACCTACACTGACACTTTTATACTGACCCCTTACACTGACACTTCTACACTGACACTTCTACACTGACACTTCTACACTGACACTTCTACACTGACACTTCTACACTGACACTGCTGCACTAACACTGCTACACTGACGCCCTACACTGACACTGCTGCACTGACGCCCTACACTGACACTTCTACACTGACACTACTACACTGACACTCCTACACTGACGACCTACACTGACACTGCTGCACTGACGACCTACACTGACACTCCTACACTGACACTGCTGCACTGACGACCTACACTGACACTTCTACACTGACGCCCTACACTGACGACCTACACTGACACTCCTACACTGACACTGCTGCACTGACGACCTACACTGACACTCCTACACTGACGCCCTACACTGACACTGCTGCACTGACGACCTACACTGACACTACTACACTGACGACCTACACTGACACTCCTATACTGACTGAGACTACTACATAGACGCCCTACACTGACATTTCTACATTGACGCCCTACACTGACACAGCTGCACTGACGCCCCACAGTGAGACTGCTACATAGACGCCCTTTAGTGACGCCCTACACTTAACACTGCGACACTGACGCCCTTCCGTGATGGTGCTAATGATATCCTCTGTATTTAAAAAATATTTTAAGTCTGATATTGCACTCTGTGGTTCTCACATTAACGTGATAAGCCTTTTGAAAGTTCACAGTACAATGGAATTTATGAAATGTGACATGCCATCATGAGGAAATATACGCACGGTACATGTCTGTAATAATTCATGAAATGTGACATGCCATCATGATGAAATACACGCACGGTACCTGTCTGTAACAATTCATGAAATGTGACATGCCATCATGAGGAAATACACGCACGGTACATGTCTGTTACAATTCATGAAATGTGACATGCCATCATGATGAAATACACGCACGGTACCTGTCTGTAATAATTCATGAAATGTGACATGCCTTCATGATGAAATACAAACACGGTACATGTCTGTAACAATTCATGAAATGTGACATGCCATCATGAGGAAATACACGCATGGTACCTGTCTGTAATAATTCATGAAATGTGACATGCCATCATGATGAAATACAAACACGGTACATGTCTGTAATAATTCATGAAATGTGACATGCCATCATCATGAGAAAATACACGCACGGTACATGTCTGTAACAATTCATGAAATGGGACATGCCATCACGATGAGATACACGCATGGTACATGTCTGTAACAATTCATAAAATGTGATATGCCATTATGAGGAAATACACGCACGATACATGTCTGTTACAATTCATGAAATGTGACATGCCATCATGAGGAAATACACGCACGGTACATGTCTGTTACAATTCATGAAATGTGACATGCCATCATGAGGAAATACACGCACGGTACATGTGTGTTACAATTCATGAAATGTGACATGCCATCATGATGAAATACACGCACGGTACATGTCTGTTACAATTCATGAAATGTGACATGCCATCATGAGGAAATACACGCACGATACATGTCTGTTACAATTCATGAAATGTGACATGCCATCATGAGGAAATACACGCACGGTACATGTCTGTTACAATTCATGAAATGTGACATGCCATCATGAGGAAATACACGCACGATACATGTGTGTAACAATTCATAAAATGGGACATGCCATCATGAGGAAATACACGCACGATACATGTCTGTTACAATTCATGAAATGTGACATGCCATCATGAGGAAATACACGCACGGTACATGTCTGTAACAATTCATGAAATGTGACATGCCATCATGAGGAAATACACGCACGGTACCTGTCTGTAACACTTCATGAAATGTGACATGCCATCATGAGGAAATACACGCACGGTACCTCTCTGTTACAATTCATGAAATGTGACATACCATCATGAGGAAATACACGCACGGTACCTGTCTGTTACAATTCATGAAATGTGACATGCCATCATGAGGAAATACACGCACGGTACATGTGTGTAACAATTCATGAAATGTGACATGCCATCATGAGAAAATACACGCACGGTACCTCTCTGTTACAATTCATGAAATGTGACATACCATCATGAGGAAATACACGCACGGTACCTGTCTGTTACAATTCATGAAATGTGACATGCCATCATGAGGAAATACACGCACGATACATGTCTGTTACAATTCATGAAATGTGACATGCCATCATGAGGAAATACACGCACGATACAT